TTTCCCTCTTTGTTTGCCGTTTGGCATCTGTCTGTCCTATGAGTCAAAAATTAACTGCAGCATGGGTAAACACTCAGACTCCTTTTTACGTCAACCAGTAATATTCTGTGGTCTGCCCTTTGGCTAATTCCCTCCTTTTACTCCTCTGACCTCTTTTAAAAAAGCCATGCTTCTTAACTGTATGATGCCAGTTTTGCAAGACTGATCTTCTCTAAGCATTTCACACTGTGTTGCCTTGCATATTTTGTATCAACGTTCTAATTCAGTCATCAGGTCATGGTGGAAGATTGTTCCCATCGGTGACTCTTCTCTGAACGATGAACAGTGGAAGGAAATCTCCAGAAGCCTGGAAAGTGTGCAAATGAGTTGTTCTCCTGTGAACTTTCTATGTGCTCTTCCAGGCTGAGTTTGGAGTTGATACATGATGGGATTCCCTGGAAGCTTAAAAACTCTGCTTAGCTCTGTCTCTTCCAGTACGTGCTCCCACACATCTCCTTGAGTGTTGGGCATTGTTCCTCAGCTAGATGTAGTGAGAGCAGCTCAGTCCAAAACAGCAGGAGAGAGTAGGTTTGGACATAGGAAAAGTGGAAAAAATGCCTGACACATCCTAGCCCTGGTGAAGGAGCAGAAGCTAGTTGCAGAAAAGCTGCTGAAGGCTCAGTACCGTTCCTGTAAGAAGGAAGAAGCAGTGGACTGAGACACAGTATTTGCTTTCTTTCCAGACTCGTGTCAGCTGTGTTCTAGCCTGTGCTGGCTTTCCACTACCCTCTCTCCTTGTGTACATCTGCTACAGCAGCAAGTAATGAAAGACTTTCTTTGCATTGTGAAACTAGTAAGTGGGATGTTCCTGGGTTCAGCGGTCAGCACCAGGCCAGCCAAGGTCCTTTGTTTAGAGCGTGTCCCTGCAAGGCTTCTCGCACTAAACGAACAAGCCTTGCATAAGTGATGGGAATCTGCACACTGGCTGTCTCCATGCCTGGTGGTCGCTCCGCGTGGCAGGCGGTTCCTTTTGCCTGCCTGGCAGTGATGTGAGTCAACTCCTGAAACAAGTGGGCAGCTGGGTGTAAATTGTAGCTGGCTCCCTGGCACGATGCTGATCCGCATCCGTTCACAGAGTGGGAACAAAGCAAGAAAAACGGGCTTAGCTGATCTCGTCTTTTTATCAAAAGCTTGTTAGTGGGTCTTTTGTCAGGGTTTCACCAGCTGAATGGGTCTGTTTTGTCCAGATGATTGGCAGGTTATGCTGCTTGTTTCGTTTTTTAACTGATTTTGAGTTCCAGTCAAGTGCAATCTCAGAAGAGTCTTGGGGACCCCATATGACCCTCCAGAAGGAGGGATATGCAGGGCAGGCAAGCCGAATGCCTGTATGTGCTGCTGGAGCAACAGTGAAAATTGCTGGAGGCTCAGGAAGAAAGTCCTTTGGGAGAAGAGGAACCAGACATCATGAAGAGACAAGACTTCAAATCTTGATCTTGATATAAGAGGGCAAATACCCACTATCAGAATATGTTGTATTCAAGCCTCTTTGGTTTCGGGAGGTTGAGTGAAGGTTCATGACATCTTACAGTTGTGTCAGGAAGATGCTGTCTTTCTCTCCTTATGCATCTTCTTTTCATTCTTTTTTCCTTTTCTATTTCTGTGTCTGATGTTGAAGTTCATTTGATTTTCTGATTCCTTCTGCATTTAATTTCCCTGAGTTCAATCTTTTCCTGGATTTAGATTCATAATCATTAGTATTTGGAAGTGTGGGGTTAAAATGATAAAATAAATTTGTTATAAAGTAGGGTTTTTTCCTTCTAGCTTTTCAAGGTCTAATTATTTTGCGGCTGATCTAGTATGCAATTGATAAGATGAAAATGTAAATTTACAGGTTTAGTATTCAAAGTGTTTTTCATCTGATCAAAGAGAGGGAAGCATTTTGCAAAACACAAAGCTTGCATTTTTGCAAATGTCTGAAGTTATGTGGTTCTAGTCAAGCCATCAGAAAATCCACAGTGCATCCACTAATGTTTATTTCATTTTTCTACAGGAGGTCTGGACCTTATCTTCATGCCAGGCCTTGGGTTTGACAAAAAAGGCAACAGATTGGGAAGAGGGAAAGGATATTATGATACCTATCTTGAACGATGCATGAAACATCCCAGTGGAAAGCCTTACACAATTGCCTTGGCTTTAAGGGAACAGATTTGTGAATCAGTGCCTGTGGCAGAAAATGACGTCCAAGTAGATGAAATCCTTTATGAAGACTGCTGAAATTACCTTGATACCAACCCACCTTCAGAATGACCAATCAAACATGTCAGAAACACCAGTCGGGACTTTTTAATAGTCATGTGACTTTGGGAGCAATAAAATACACTGTGTTTGAACAAAAAAAAACCCAACAGTGTAAATGTAGTAATAGTAGTGAGGATTGCATTGGTTTGCTTCTAAATAGCAAATATCTGGATCTGGTGTGAATTCTTACTCTAGAATCCATAGAAACAAGAGTGTATGACTGTTACTACAGTTAGGACCATTTTTTCTCATCATACTTTTGAGAAACAAGCTACTTGATACTTAACAGTTTTATTATTCCAGTTTAAAAGTGAACTGTCTACTAATGACAGTTCTTGATCCATTCTGGAACTATGTTATGTTAAAAGTTCATAGAACTTAAATATTCATGCATCCATGAGCAAAACAAGAAACTGCCAGATAAATCCTATAGTACGCTGGGCAAAAAATGGTGATTGGAAAAAAGCCTTAATTGATTTTAGTTTATACAATATTTTTGGCTGTTTACTTGGCTCCTTGAAGTTCTGTTAAAATAAAGGGAGTGTCTGTTAATAAAAAAGGTTCATGTCCATAGCTTTGGTTCTTTCCTTTATCTGAATATGAGATTGTAATGTAGGCTAAAATGTAGTCGGTGAGTTTTTTGTAAAATAATATTCAAAATTACACTAAAAGTTTTACAATTTTGTATATGAGCCATTCATAATGTCCAAAATACTGCATGAATTATCGGTTCTATGTTAAAGGATAAAGAGATGCTAAGAATTGCAGAGAGCGGGTTTTATGGATTGAGAAAGTTTTTGCATGGAAGGTTGTTTTCACTCCAATTCTGCAGACCATCCCACAAATCAGGAAGAAGGTAGTGAGTTTTCCTCTGAAAAAACCTCACTATCCAGAGAGTTTTCCTCTGCACTTTGTCCTCATAGTAATAGGACATAATATTTCCAATCAGGATTAATCCAACTGTCAAAATTTTGTGTTCCTTCTTCACTTTTTCTATACCTGTTTAACTCCTCCCTCAATCAATAAATCAGCGCATTTTCACCAAACCACTCTGTGTCGTCATTTAAAAATCCATGAATTCTTAAGGACCAGCTGTGGAGCAAAATGACCTTAAGGCTTCCTCAACGATAACTGTGACAAAACCATGCCTACAGTAAGTATGAACGTTTTAATCTGAGAATGCTTGTATTCAGTTTTATTTCCATTTTGCTAATACAGTAACTAATTAAATCCCCTTGCTCTGAGGTGAACGTAAGCTTAGCAACCCAGGTCTCTCTGCCTGTGCTTGCTGGTGCTTCTCCATCCTGTATTAACAAAGGTCTGGCCGGCTGGGGTGAAGATAGCTTCAGTGTTGGCCTGCTGGGCCAGCCCACCAGCACGTACAGAAAAGCTGCAACCTGAACAAGACAGCCGGTAGAGTTTGCAGTTGGCCGTCCATCGGTTCTTTGTCACGCTATTTCCCACCACCAAATGAAAGATGCAGAGTAAGATGTGTTCATGTGTTCACAAAGGGCTGTGCAAGCAGAGGTTGAGATGACAGTATTGGTGTTGGTGGATGCAGTGGAGCATCCTCCAGCTCCTCTCCGCTCTGCGGTGCTGCCAGCTGTACTGCCTTACAGGAGGGAGACAGACTCTTAGGATTCAAGACCTTTGGGGAATAAATGTAATGAGAAAATTGGACCCCTTCTTTTTCATGATGTCTGTCCTGGCAGTATTGAAATCCGTTCTTCATTTATGAACTTCTGGAGGTGGCGTATGGAAAGCGACAAATAAAAAAAAAAGAGATTGGGCAGGCTTTGTGTGTGGCAGACCTGTGTCTAGGTTTGCCTGCAAGGCTGTTTGAGGTCACCGCTCACATTAGGCTCAGCACTGTGCCATATGGCACAGCCTGCCATGGACATCAACAAAGCTATGCTGAAGCCAGAATTTCTCACAGCGGAAACCTGGATCCCAGATCTGATAGATGTTTTAGATGGATATGTTAAATCCAGCCCCATTCAACGAGCTACCTGCTTCCACCTCAGCGAACCCAGTGGGTGCTCTTAGTGGTGTCCTACTTCAAGTTTTAACCATGTTTAACATGTTTTTGGTTAGTGTGACACTAGGTGTGACTGCCGCTTCAGTTCTACTTTAGACACAAAATTAAGAGGCCCTGTCAGCGTAACAGAACATAATCAGAGGCTAATGACCTCTTGCTGCTACATTCAAGCTGGGTGGCCATGATGTTTGGTTTTAAAGCAGAATACTATTTTTTTGAACTGTGGTTTGTTAGGATGCCTTGTGCCACATAAATCAAATGGCTACTGTGAAAGCAAACTTTTTATCCCAAACCTCTGCGCCTTGTGGCTTTGCTTTTCTGAAGCATCCTTTATATAAGAGGGGGTTTTATTATTATTATTATTATTATTATTATTATTATTATTATTATTCTTTGCTCGGTTAGATATGAATTTAGTCACAAAACTTTATGGCCCTTTGGATTGGCTTTTGATCTTCCTGTATGAGCTTTTCACTAGAATAAGGGCTAGCTTGACTCGTATGTATTTCACTACAGGTGATGCCAGGTAAAGAGCTATGTACAAAAAGGCCAGCATATGATGAAGAGACTGCAGAGCCAGCGATAGCAACTGTACAGAAACAAAGTGCTTAGAGAGACATGAGGACTTTGTCCTATGTTTTATTATGTGGGAGTTCAAAACGGGGGAAAAAGAAAAAAAGCAAGAGTTTGGATGCAAAATACAGGCCCCCCATCCAGCAGAGCCACAGATAGGCACCAAGCTTTGTCCCTGTGGGCTCGCTGGAGTTGCTGGAACTAACTGGTGTAAGAGAAGCCTGTGCGCTTTGAAGGCTTTCAGGACTTGAGGCAACAAGCGTTCCCAAACTTCTTACCTCACGGATCACATTTCAATACATCATGGAGCCATTCTGCTGCTTTCACTCCAAACTGCCCTTTTGGCTACAGCTGTTGTGGGAAAGGATGAGGAAACTATTTAATGTACTGTATCATTGGGAACATGAGGAGCTGGTTCTTGCCAGCCTCTCCTGGGTCAGGAGGAGATCATCACAGGCTCATCAGCCAAGCTGGGGGAGCTGCAGGACCCTGGCTGATGCAGATAGCTCATAACATTTGACTGGTGGGGACAGTAAAACAATATTTATGTATATTGTCTTAAGAATCACAGAGCTAAATAAATGTGACAGCTTTCATTTGACATCCCCAACCTTGCTGCTGTCTCTCGGGGTTTTTCTTTTTGCCACATAACATGAAATCAATGTCAGTTTGATAGTATATAGCAGTGTTTCTGAAGCACAAAGGTTAGGGGGTTGGTAGGTGCGTCAGAATTATTTACGTTTGCTATGCATAAAATGGCACTTGGGGAGCAAGGCAGGCTGCCAAGGAGAGGAATCGGGGCTGTCTGGTTGCTCTCTTGTATCTCTCCATGCTGGATTGTCAGAGTAGGATTTATAAAAATTGCTTCAAAACAGTATCATCTATCCTCAAGTGGACGTGCCCCCGTCTGTTGCGGTAAGTGCCATTATTGCTATTCTTATGACAAAATGTCTATCAATCTCTACTTTGTTTATAAACAAATCTGCCTGCCCTGCATAAGAAATGGATAGGCTAAGGAAAAATACCATTACCAAAGGAATAAGGTAATTATATTTCAGGATCTCAGCAGGGAATGCTATCTCAGAGTATTCAGTAAGATCTGACCAGTGGAGTTATAATTAAAAAATGTCCCCAGGGAGGAACTTGTAAATTATTTACTGTAAGGGGCTTTTCCAGGCTCTTTTAGTTTAATTACACACTCTGAAAGAGAAGGGCTTCAGAAACAAATTAACTAAGAGGTTGAAATGGCTTTGTTAAAATCATGTTCACAGCTAAGCAAGTGGAAGACTGTGAGCAAGGTTCAAATATAGGACAAATTTTTGGAAGCTGTCATTGCTCATGGTTTAAAAATCATATGGAAAGCACCAAAATGTCCGTGCATAGAAAATGCAATCACTGGGTTTGTCCGGTATTCCCACTGGCCTCAGAAGACTTTGTGTGTAGTCCAGATCTGATAGTGCCTCATGTCCTCATGGCCATTTGCTTTGTAGGGGGAGGTACTGACTTTTGTGGGCTTTTTGATGGGGTACAGATCAAGTCCTAGCAGAGGGAGATGAAAGATTAGAGGTGATGGAGAGGCATAATAAGAGGTTGCTGGGATGGTATGAATTTTCCCTCGCTCTCACACCGCCTGTGGCATTTTAGCTCAAAACAGCTGGGTTAACCCTCAGTGGAAGGTGGGTTGAACGTGAGAGACAGGACCCATGCTCTTAGCAGTTGTGTGCTTTTGAAATGCCTGGGTGAAAGCTGACTTGCTTGCCCTCCCACCTGAAACACAGCTTAAACGTTTGCGACCGAAGTTGGTCCTTTGCTGGAAGACAGCTGGCGTGATCTCTGGTTGGATGTGGAGAATGGAAGTCAAGAGGCCAGAGCTCTCCCCTCATCTTAATCACTGACTCATTGCTTGGCCGAGAGGGAGGCATTATCTAATATCTGTTTGCTGAGGAGTAAGGCAGCCAAATACTCTATCTGCCAGCCTGTTGATGCCAAATTTTATGTATGTAATGGCCTTTCAGCAGCGGTTGTCCTTGCGTTTCTTTCTGTCTGAAAAAGCCCCATCTGCTGTGGCCCCCTTAGCAAACAGCCAACTGGCTGGGCAGAGCAGCCAGCCACCCACCTCCGCCGGTGCATATGTGCTTGTTAGTCCATATACATGTGTAGAGCTTTTCTCTTTTCCTTGTGTCTTCTTTTGCTTTCAAATGTATTGCACTTGCGTGTCTTGCTTAGATGAAAACTGCCCCAGAGTTAACAGTCTCTCTATCCCCTGCATGTGTACAGTCTTCAACACATGCCATTTGATTATAGCCTGAGGGTACCGTTATCTCGTCCTAAACAATAAGTTCTCCACCTTCAGGCAAACTAGCTG